AAAGTTAAGACTAGTTTAAAGTTATCTTCATTCAAAAGTACAGTGCTTTTCCTTAAAAAATAAGGACATTTCAATGTGACCCCAAACTTTTGAACGGTAGTGTATATTGTTTAGATATACTATTATCTTGCTACCACTTTATATCATATTTGCTTTTATCTGTTCATGTTCCCGGCGGTTGGCATCTTTATTCCACTCTGGATTCTCATGAGCGAAGCCTTTGTTCACTTTACAATAAAAAAAAAAAGACAAAAATTAAAAAGAAACTCTTTGGTTAATTATGTCCCAGTCTTGGTTCTGTTCTGTTTTCTTTTGAGTATTCAGTTAACTTTGCTCCATGTTTTCTAGTTTTATTGGTTTAATTGTTATTTTGTTGTGTTTTCTGGTTATATTTCAGTTCTCAGGTTTTTATCTGTTGCCCTCTGCTGCCCTCTTGTGTTGGTCTCATTTTTCCCTAGCTCCTTAGTCTGCTCTGTTCACACCTGCTCCCTATCTGCTCTTTAGTCCTCTTTTTGTTCAGTTAGCCATAAATGTTCTCCTTGTGCGGTTCCTCAGTGCTAGTTCTTCGTCTAACTTCCTCCAACTCCGTCTCACTGAGTCTTCCTCGTCGTGATAGTTTTCCCCCTGATGTCTCCATGGTTTCTGGTTTGTTTTACTTTTCTCATTTTTTGTTGTTTTTGGATTCCTGCCTCAGTTGCCTGTTGATCTTCATTAAATCTACAAAAAAACTCACCTCTGCCTCCCTGCCTCTGCGTTTGTGTCCTCAAACCACAACCAAACCCTGACACATTATGCACATCAAAATACTAACATTAAAGTTGATATAAACAGAATTCATGCTCTTTTAAGACACAAATTTTGTGTTTTATGTCTGCATGTCATCAAGGTATTTTCAGTGAAATCATAGATAACTACTTTAATAATAACTTAAAAATTCATTTAATGTAGATATGAGTACATGTGATATTGTTATGCAGAACAATTTTTGATAAAAGTAGGTAAGTAATGACAAAAGATGTTTGCCCCAGACATTTTGTCCACTATACCTTTTATTTAGACAGCATGGATTTTTTAAATACATCTATTTGAAATCAAAAGGCTTTAGGAAAGTAGTTTGGCTTTATTTAGAAAACATGGATGTTTTGCCTGTTCCTGTTGAACAGTGTAGACAGACCCTGAGGTTTTTTGCACCTATCCGCTTTCGTTCACCCCTCAGTTAACATTGGTTTTTGACTGGCCACCACTATTAAATTTTTCTGGCTACGCCCCTGATCCCAAGCAGTTTCCCCTCAGTGAATTTCCATCAATCCTTCAACTGCAAGAACAGAGATTGACAATGAAAGCCATCATAGCATTTCAGGAGGGTCCAACGCCTGAAACAATTGAGTGTTATGTGGCGTTTGGTAAGAGGTCTCGAAGCACCTGGGAAATGTACGATGACCTCAGAATAGAAATGACACCATCTGAAAAGACCACGATATGCCCTCATGCTGTGCTCTACATAAAAGAATAACGGTCATTTCTTTCTTGAAAAAATGTAGTTTTCTGTTTTGTTAGTCAGCTGTTATTTCAGTTTGAGTTGATGTATTACATTTGAGAACCTAAGAAAGTTCAGTGTATTTTTTTTGTTCAAAACACACTTCATTGTTCTGGTAGTTTTGTATTTTGGTGACCGGCTTATTAACATTTATGTCCAGTTGAATGCATAGTTTATTTTTTTAAATTGTTCAAGTTTATGTTTAGCTATTTTTCACTATTTTTGATAAAGGTCTTTCAACGTGGATAACACCAAAAATAACATCGCATGCACTAGAAGGGCAAGTTTGAGCGCTTGGTGACACAAAAAATAAAGGTTGAATGTAGTGTTATTTAAACAAATTAAGCTTTTATTGTAAATTGTTGTTGAAAAATCTGTGCTATGAATTGTAAAGCCAGATAATAAAAATAAATAAAAGTAATTTGTAACCAATTGTGATCATGAGTTGGTCATAACAGATTAAGTGAAGCTTCTCAAAACCAGCACGCTTGACATCAAAAAGTTTAAACAGTAATTGACATCTTTAAGCCAAAGCAGCACAAACGAAGTCGAGTTAATTGACACCTATTTCGTCTGTTTAAAGAAGGTGGGGGGGCTGGTTGACCTTTGATGACCTCTAGAAACATTTCTTCATATCTTTAAGCACAAACAAACATTTTTGCTGCACAAACATTTGAGAGGGTGGGAGGGCCAACTTCACTCA